TTGGATGATGTCACTGACACCTGACTCCACTTTGGGAAAAAAAGAGAGTATGGAACAAGGGGTGAGGGCCCCACTGCCAACTTGCACATGGCCTTCGGTTGTCCATTCATGGCCTGGTCTTCAGCCTACTCAAAATCAATGTGAAGGGGTTAGGCTTGATATCTCCTGAAACTTCCTCGAACATTCTATGATGTCCTTTGCTGGTTTCAGCAAATTTATGAGGATGAATACATAATGTTCATCCATATGTAATGTAATACAGATGAATCTGTAACATGACCACCCTCAACGAATGGGGGAAATCTGTCATCTTTCGGGGGGTTATAGTTAGAGACTACCTTGTACAGTGTCTGGGGATCAACCTGATGGCTAACTGCCAGCAAACTGGCCACACTGGGATCTGTGGGCAGAAGGGCAAGCCTACAATGGTGAGAACTGTGCATGGTTCAGGGCTCCAGCAAGTAGAAGCGGGGTGTAGCTTTACTCCTCTTGCCAAAGGCTGGTGGGTTATAAAAGGAGCTTGTGTAGCATCAACTTGCCTGATTCACTTTGGGACCAGTATACTTGCAGTCTTAGAAGGGTCACCAGAATGACCCAGTGACACCAGGCAGAGTCTTCTGATGGTCTCTATGAGCTTAATTTGATTTTGTTGTAGGAGAAAATTACAGGAGTCTTGTTTATCAGGCAGGTGAGCATAATAATCCTTTCCAAGAGGGCACCGTGCACGTCCTGAGTGTGACTGATGAAAGCTTATGGTACAAGAGTCGCGCTGGCAGCAGCATCCTAAGACCGACTCAGACTAATCTGGGTTAAGCTCCAAATATGACCTATATTAAAAGTGGCAGAATCTGGTGGAGCCCTAGTGAGGAATTTCCTCCCACTTGTTCTAAATCCTGGAACCTTTACAATCTGGCCTATCATGAAGGAGGAAGTATTTCTGACCATATCTTGGAAAAATCAAATGTGTTTATGTAGGGCTCACAAATAAACAAAGATTTGTGCTCCCTCTGCTGGCTCCCCACAGCAATATTAAAGTAGAAAGGAACCCAAACCAGTGTTGGCATGTTCGGCAAACAGTTGATTTGCGTATACTGGGAACAACTTGTTTAATTTGGTTTGGGACAGTCTTTGGAAAAAATCAATCTTTATGAGGGTCTGACCAAGGCACTTGTAAATTCTTAAAATTAGTTATTAAATTCGACATACCTGTAGTCCTCCACTACCAAATTGCTAGCTGTGATTTGGGAATTCATTTATCAACAGACACAAGTGGATTCCTCCAAGGTTTTAAGGTCCAGACACAACATTTAAAGCAGTTTGGAGTGGGGGAGGGAGGCAATCTCAGGTTCAAGCTCAAGTTTTTTTGTTTTTCCTCTTGTTTATAAGACCAGCTTCCAAAAAGTAAAGATTTATAATATTTATATCCTTTCCGATAATGTCAAACATTAGACTTGATTTTCCAAATCATTAGCATGCAGAAGAATGACCTCATGGTGAACAGATGCACTTGGCTGTGAGCTGCAGTGATTACATCAGTCCCGCCCAGCAGTCGAGGGCGCCCATTCCAGTTAACCCTTTGAAGGCCTCTCTGCCAGCCCCCCTTCCTTGGAAACATGCATGAAAACACAAGCTGAGACTCTCACCCCAAAGTGCGTGCGTGTGTGTGTGTGTGTTAAACACATGCATATACATGCATAAACATATACATGTATGCAAACACACAGACACACGTATGTGTTAATTGCGGCCAATATTTTCACACTGGCTACCTTATAGAAATTGTTGGCCAAAAGGGAAGGAATCACAAGGAACACGAATTACAGGGCTAAGAGAAAGGCAGCTCAAATGCCTATCATACACTGAGTATTATTACCAGTATAGATAGTGGACAGAAGAGGTATGAGGTAGGTGGTGTTTTAAAATAACATTTTCTGACTGGGAAAATATACATTTTTTAAAATCTCCTTTTAAAAAGTTGAGTACCCACCCATGAGTCTAATTATTGAAGATCTGATATCTTCATGGGTGGCTGACAGTGAATCATGAAGAGAAGCATGTGTGCTTGGCCAGTGTGGCCCTCTATGGCTTCCTTGGGTGACAAGCAACGGCAATGGGGCAGGGGGAGTCTGAGGAGAAGGCATTTTCTGACAGCAGCATCTTTGGGCATGAGCCCTTCCCACTGAGCACATTTCTTACTTACGCGTCGGACTCTTCCCTCTGGAAAAGGGGGCTGCTTGCTGCTACAAATATAGTATGGACGGAATAGAGGGTTCAGGTTATTCTCCCTCTGCATTAACGACAAAGCCCCTTGCAGGGAGGATACAAAAGAAACCTGGGAGTCCCTAATTCCTCAGATTGTGCATATGCATGTGAGCAGGAGCCCAAGGCCCCGCTTTGATGGCACTGCTGGCCGAGATGGTCTGATTGGGTCCTAAGTGCACTGTGGGGGCTTAAGCCGCTCAGGGTCAATTTTTCCAGTTGGCTTGCTACTTGGAAGAGCAGAGTCTACCACCTCTGTTTCTTAGTTTAAGCTAGCTGGCTCATCTGGGTTTGACTGTACTTGTCCCAAGAAAATAGGGCTAACACTGAATAAATGAAAAATGTTTTCATCTGTAACAGTGGTACCAGGCCCGGACAGGGATTCCTCAAAAGCAAAACTGGCAGGGAAAGGAGGAGAGGATGTGCTTCTGAAAACATGCCTATTTATGGTCTGGGAATGCTCCGCCCTCACTGCACGGCCCCCAAATTTCAGTGCACATCAAGTTCTTTCCGAGTTCCTTCCTAATATTTGTTGTGGGCATATATATGCAAAGTGGTGACAGAGAACATGATGTTCAGACTTAAAATCACGTTCATGGATTGGCATGATATGTGTACCCAAAATTTTATCACTCAACACTGAATGCCCTAAACCCTGAACATTGTGAAATGTCATCCGGATGCTAATAATTTGGAAAGAGGAAGCCCAGCATTTGTCTTGGTATCTCATCTTTGGTTTCATGTTCCCTTTGTACCAGTTCCAGTGCCCACTCATGAGCTGTCAGACCCTTATCTGCTAAGTGACTTTGGCAAATGTGATGCTCTTGAAGAAGTCTGTCGGCCACTGCCTCCAAATAGCAGGTCTTGGAAAACCCAAATCACTTCTCGAGACTCACTTAACATGTTACCTACACACTGGCTCATTTGAATTGATTTAAGTCATTGTGAACTTTAAGAAAAGATCAAATTAATTTATATAGATGCTAAAGTATGCATAGGAAACAAAGTTCATCAATATTTGTTTCAGGAACATCTTAATCTGGAGCCTTAACAATGTAGCAGCTAAGGAATGCCAATATCTAGTTATTATTTAATTTCTTCTAATTTTAAGAAACATAAAGCTTTCTCAAGAGTTAAAAAAACAACAACAACAAAAAAACCCAACAACAACAACACAGAAAAATTAAGCCCCAGTACCTCATGAGGAGGAGAAAGAGCTGAATGAGATCTTTAAAAAAAATTAGCTTTGCCATGGATCCTTCATGTTCTTTCACCTACACACTAGAAATGATTTTAAACCTCCAGCCAGAGTGGTGTGAAATCTTCATTTCCCTTGAAACCGTTTGTTTTTTTTTTTTTTTGGTTTAGATAGAATGTTGGCAGAGTGTATAAAAGAATTCAATTCACAGCTGTTCTACTTTTTTTTAATGTAAGAAACATTAATCAAAGCTTTAAGTTATAAGCTTTCTCATGTTGTTTAGTATTCCAGTTCAACAAAGATCAATAGAGGCCATCCCTGTGTTTCTTGACGCCTCACCAGGAAGCAGAGGCGTGATTATGTAAATCGCAGGGCTCCCGCACCTCGGCCAGCTTGCTTATCTCTCAGGCCTTCTGCCTGCTGCTCCTGGCTCCCTGTGCAAGAGCAAGCCTCTCCCTCTTATCTCCCAACAAAGCTCGGAAAGGCAAGGATTGAAGCCAGCGATGTTAAACAATGATGCATGGCTGATTTTATTTGTAAGTGATTTATTTCACTGAATTTAATTTTTTTCACTTTGTGTGTAAGATATTTGTTAACAAGTCAGAATTGGAGAAGTAAGGCGGTGTTCAGAGACAATTGACACAGGTTAGAAATCTATTAAGCATGCTAACAGTTGTGTCTACACCGGTGGAAGAAGAGGGAAGCCCCTCATTGAGAATTTCAACATGCATTGACTAAATATCCCATTTACTCTCTGAAAGGCAATTAATCTGTAATTACATGCAGAAATTCACACGTAATTCTATTCTTTGGGAAAAAAAAAAACCCACAGTAATCATATAATCAGTTTAAGTGGTAGTATCCATTTTTTTTTTTCAAACTGGAAATATAAAAAGAGTAAAACCTAAAAACAAAGACATGCATGGAAATTTTTGAAATTTTCCATTGGCGTAATAAATGAAAATGATTGAAAGCCAGTTGCTAAACAGGTTCCACGCCAGGTGCTGCTCTGGTCGGCAGCTTGTCCATGTGACCCAGACCACTCCAGAGAGAAAAGCGTGCACGCCGCTCTGCTGTAATGACGGACCAGGGGACACTGTCCTTCCATTTCTCTTGCATTAATCCCTGACCCGAGTATCTTGGCAGCATAATCCCCATTTAGCATTAGTAGCAACGGCTTCGACTGTGAGGAACACTTTTTTGATAAGTAAGCACTGATTTGGGCATCGCTTTTAAACAACATATTCCCAGCTCAGCAAGAAACCCACACTCCTGAATGAACTGGAGCACATTACTGAGAAAAAGTTCATTAACCTTGCTAGATTCGGGGGTTAACAGGATAGCTGAAGAAAAGCACTGAGTGAACAGCTCGGATACAAAACAAATTAAAATGAATGTCATCATTCCTTTTGATATTCATTAGTTGATTCAGAGGGAGAATGCTCTTCTTAAATTTGCAAGCATTTATCTGTGAAAAACAGGTGTACATCTGCTGCTCGAGTGCGTCCTAAGCGCGGGAGGGCAGAATAATGCAGACACTCACCCGTTCCGCCGAGGGAGGGGCTGGGCGAGGGAGAAAAGACTTGGGCGGCAAAATCCTCAAACGTCATGACTTCTCGGTGGTTCTGAATTATTGCTTCGAGGTACAGAGCTCGTTCTTCGTAGCTGCAGTCACGGGTCAAGGAAGCAAGTGCACATGTGGAATGACATGCATAACAATGACAGCTCACTTTGGTTGGAATACAGTTACGCAACTTTGACGTGGATGAGTGGGGAGGGGGAGAAAAGTACCTTGCAAGTCCATTACCATCCTGCCAGGGAATTAAATATGACTCAGAATTAACAGTAAGATTCTGATATTGAGATCTAACTCCCTCTTAGACTTTGGTTACACCCAAGAGCAACATTCCTGAAAATTATGTACATCAATGGTTATAGAAACACAGCAAAAAGTTGTTAAACTTGAGTCAAACAAACAAAAACGGAGGCACCCGGCTGTGGGACAGTGTCGGACCGTCCCTTCCCGGGTCAGTGGATATACAACGTTCTTCTCAGTCTCCTAGAGAATGAATTGACGCTTAAAGCAGGAATTGGTGACACACTTAAAAAAAAAAAAAAAAAGGTGAGAGGATGTGCTTCCCTGGGGAAGAGGGAGGCGGGAGGCTGGGAAGGTATGCTCAGAAAGGGCACCAGTGCCTCCAGCCAGGTTGGGCTAGAGCATGAGAAAATAGGAGCTAATAAGTGAGAGACTCTAGCAGAGAGGGCACAATGCAATTTAAAAAAGAAAAGACTATTGCCTTTTAATTAAAACTGCAGTCTGGAACACACGCATTCAAATGTGTAATCAAAAACCAGTCACCAATAAAACTTACAAGCGTAACACGCTGAAGCAACTTTCCAGCTGTCTTAATAGGACCCCTGCGTGTGGCAGCCTTTCACAGGGCAGAAAGCAAATCTTCCCCTTTTGTGTATGGCTTCTGTTTCCTCAGAAGGTGAATCACGCACTTCCAATAACAGGATAACGTCAGAACAATTCGACAGCGGATGGAGGCCCCGCATGTATGACTTTATGAATTAACACTTGGGGAAGTCGGCATGACGTCTCATTTTCCCCTTCCCAGTTATCAATGCAAAAGTTAAAAGACGTGTTTGAGTCATTTTGAAAATCATGCTAATTCTCCAGGAACACAGGGAACATGGATCACCATCAATCAGTTCATTATTTGCTGCTTGGGAAGAGCCAAGGTAATTTCTAGCATTTCTCGCTGGATTTTAAAACTATCCTTCCAAAATGGCCTCTTCACAAATAAAAGTTGGTGAAAATGATGCTTTTCTAATCAGCTTTCAGTAGGAAGCATGTGATTTAAGATAGGAAAATATTTTTCTATTTTCTTTTTGTCCAAGGATGCACACAGATTTCCCAGTGCAGGCCCTTCCTTTTCCTCCTCCTTTAATTATAGTCAGAGAAAGAGTTTTTGCAGGGTGAGACCAGAGGCATCCTGGGGCCTTGCCGGCCAACGTGGTAGCCGGGAGCCGCATGTGGCTATCTAAATTTAAGTTTAAATTAATTAAAATGAAAAAAACAAAAAACGAAAATCAGCAATTCCCTTCCCGGGTCCCACTAGCTGTACTTCAAGCACTCAGCAACCACACACACACATGAGCTGGGGTTACTGGGTTGGAAGGCACGGACAGAGGACGTGCCTTTCGTTGTGGAAAGAGCTACTAGGCAGCTCGCTTCCAGAATTTCTCTTTAGGGTCGCTCTAGGCACTTGAGAAAAGCAAAATGCATTTGAGGATGTCAAAAGCAACCCCTCTGACGGCTTCCCAGTGTGTTATATAGAAGGTCACCGCAGCCGAAGGCCTGGGTGGTGGGAGCCTGAACTGGCTTCTTAAATGCACGCTGAGTTCCGGGTGACACCCTGACGAACGCACAGGCTGCCGCACTTCCACAGTGAGAGGTGTCCTCTCAGGCCCAATTCTAGAGGGACCCACTAATGCCATTCACGTCTCATTATGAACACACTTATTCTGCACAGCACTTGGCTGTCGCGCAGCTCGGCCCTCCGAGCACAGCCCCAGCGAGCCGCGGGTCCAGGGAACAGCAGGACGTTAGGCCCGAGTGGCCGTCTGGCGAACAGGCTCTCTGACACTAAGCTGGCACGTGCTGGCCCAGCAGGGGCCGAGTGAGGCGTGACAAATTACTCAAAGAGCTGAGCTAAACTTATGGCTGACAACCACCTGAGCCTTAGGACAGCCGTGGCCCGCTGTCAACGCGCAATTCATGGCTCCCCCTTTCAGGCCGCAGTCTGCTTGAGGGCCCGGGTTAGAGCCGGCACAGCCCTCTAAAGACCTGTCATGCTCTGCCTAGAATGGTCCTGCTGTTTCCTGAAAGGCCCCACTGCGTCCAACACGTCCACATACAGTGCTAGGGACAATGGCGAACAAAATAGAAGTGTGGATGCATTTTGCTAAATATGCTTTGGAAGCCGTGTATCTGGAAGAGTGGCTGCTATGTTAATCGAGCTCACAGGCAACCCTACAAAGAGATGCCATGTATAATACCCCGTAGACTGACCTCAGACAGCAGCCTGTCATCCTCACCCAGGATGACACTAGCCAATTCGGAAGCTTGTCCTTGTCAGGCTGGAGAAATCCGGGCGCCTAGGAGCAAGTTCTGCGCTAGAGTTACGGTGGGGTGATAATCAAGTTTTGAGATTCTCTGGCTCAATGAATATTTATGGTCTGACTCCTAAAACAGGGCACGATGGAAGACAACACAAAAAGATGCTTCCAGGACCAGATACTAGAGGAGGAAGTGTTTACCTCATAGAAGATTCCTGATCTCGCTTTCACGCCCCCAACTGTCACACGTAGCACACACTCCCCCACCCCCAGGCTGGTCCTATGCTGTCACGGGAGCGTTAACAGCGCTAAACTGGGTGTTGTCATTTAGACAAACATCCATTAGGGACTGCGGGGAGACCAGGAGATCACCAAATGCATTTTCACTCGTGGCCCACGCCAGGGCATGTAAACACCATGACAAAAAGAAAACAAACACCACCCCAATCCTGGCAGTGTTTAGAAACAGAGAAGGAGCTCAGGGTGCCAAAAAATCATTTCTTTTAGTAGCTTCTAAAAATCGTAGCTCTGGGATTTAACTGAATGTATTAGAACTACTAGCAAGGGCAATTAGGAGCAGTATTACCTGACATTTTCTTCCCTAACATCTTTAGGGCTTCAGGGCTGGCTGCTTTGTATATATATTAAAAAAAAAAAAAAAAGGCATTTATAACTTAGACATCAAAATGCTTCTAAGGTTCTTCTCAGGCATAAGACATGTTAAGATGGGAACCAAACGCTGTAATAATGCCAGGAGTGGATGGTCAGCGCCTCTGGCTGAAGGCAGGTGGCTAAACAGGCACCTGGTCACACATTCAATACCTGTTTTCATACTGGCTTTTGCCCTGCTGTTCTCTTAAAAAGGCCACTAACAGATGTAAAACTTAAATGCTGGCCTGAATTACTATCTCATTCAAAACCACACATAGTAAAGTATGCTGTTAAAGAGAAAATTTTCCCTTTGATTACTCAATTCAGAGAGCATTCAAATTACTATCTAGAAACCCCTCTTGTTTCTAAGTATTTTGCGCTTCTTCAGTGACCCGCTGTGTCTATGTTGTCATCTAAGAATTTTATCATTTACCAATGCTTCTCTACTTGAATGAAGAGGCTATATATCTTTGCTGCTTACATTTTAACCAAAACTTCCAAGAGAACTTTCTGAGACCCTCAAGACACATTCAGCTGGGTTGCAAAAGCTCAAGAATCCAAACCCAACTTCCCCAAATTTTATTTTGACGATTATTTGCTTCTGTTTTCCAAAACAGCAGCAGGAGCATGCGAGGAAGAAACTTGCCTTTTGGAGGAAGACAGGCCTAGGTTGAAATTCCAGTCCTCTTTTCCACCCACTGGGGGACCCAGGACAAGCTGCTCCAATGCCCCCAGCATCAGCTGCCTTGTGTGTAAAGCAGTGATGCTGACACCTGCCCTTGGGGCTGCCCTGAGGATCAGATGCAATTGTGTAATGAAGCCTTAACCCTGGTTCTAGCACACAGGAGAAGCACCATAGATGTGGACTGCCTGTTCCCCTTCCTCCCTTAATGTGGGCTTCTAGGTTCCTCTCCCAGAAAGAGCATAGTGGATAAAGTAGGAGGAGCCTCTGTGTCAGGCTTTAGGACGAGCATGCCTCCTTCATGTTAGGCCTCTGTGAGCCAGGGGAGTGCCATGTGCCCCACGGTACTGGTCAGCAAGTGGAAGCACAGAGGAGTCCAGTGATTTTCCAGAGTCACAGTTACTTGGTGGTATAACTGGGACCAGAACCCAGGTCTTCCAACCTTTACTGCTTTTGGCTATTGTATCTTGCTTTCTATGGTCCATGGGATTAAGTTCAGGATCCCATGCAAGGTTGGGAGCTAAACTAGCAGTGAGGATTAATCAAGCGACTGAACTATACAGAGGTCTGAAAATCCACCCGAGTCCATAGGTTTAAGCTGCATTGATACCCATAGACTACACTGACTGTATAAATTCAGAAAAAATCACAATTACTTCATTTTAATTGTTTTTTTTACTTATTCAGGCTATGTGTTTGTTGACTGCTATTTAAGATGTTCAACTTCTTTGTAATAACTTCTGTTCTTTTTTTTTTTTTTTTAAAGATTTTATTTATTTATTTGACAGATCACAAGTAGACAGAGAGGCAGGCAGAGAGAGAGAGAGAGAGGGAAGCAGGCTCCCTGCTGAGCAGAGAGCCCGATGTGGGACTTGATCCCAGGACCCTGAGATCATGACCCGAGCCGAAGGCAGCGGCTTAACCCACTGAGCCACCCAGGTGTCCCTAACTTCTGTTCTTTTGTTTGCTTGTTTGTTTTTAAGGAAAAGGGAGAACTGTATGGCAAGAATCTCTATTGCAGGTTGTACGTTTTTTTCAACCCTTGACACTCTTCTTGCCAGGACCTTCTCTACGTTTCCAAGGAGTGGACACCAGACCCAGCCCGACAAAGCAGCCTTGGAAGAGGCTGCCTCCTGAGGTCAGGATATGTGTCTTCTGCAGTGGTTCCCATACCTTCCCTGGTTTTCTTTCTTAACTCCTTGCAGTC